GCGACATCTGTCAGCAGTAACTGTTCATTCCCGTTCGTTAGTAAACTTTTCTGTCCAAGTGATTGTTTTGTAAAGCAAAATTGAAGTAGTGGAACGCAACCACCGCAAATTCCCTATTCCCCTCGCTTAATGCAGTGTAGATTCTGTGTGTTTTCCTGCTTCTTTTCGGGAGTTCTCATCACTTTTAATTAACTTTACTAGAGAAGTCGAGAAAATAAGGCTGTAGTGTTTCTAAGGATTGAGATAGATGTTTGGTAGAAAAGTATTTACCCTAAAGATAACGAGAAAATACGTGTTTTTCTGCATCCCTCCCATGTCAACTCATTCTGTAGATCAGTTCAATTGATGTTATTACTGGGAGTACGACATTTCTGTGGGTCAATTCCCATTCTCGTGAATTGATATTCGCAAAGTAGTGAATCAGAGTTATGAAGTATAGTAAAATGTTAAAAATAGCTAATCCTCTGTGACTAAGTCACTTTATTGGTACATTCTTTTCAGCAAAGAATGTTCAAATTTTCAATTGCAGAAGGGAATTGCGATTGTTTTGAGGCACTTCATGTAATTCGGGTAACGGCTACTAAGAAGGGAGGGAAATGTTTCCGTGTATTAATAGTAGTTGCTAGGTCGTCTGAGAGGAAATGCACAAATTGCGCTAAAAGACATTTTATTTGACGAGAAAAGCAGCTAAGGCGACTGCCTGTGAATTGACCATTTGAGACTTGTGTAGCATCGCTGGGCTCCTCTCGAAGGGAATCGAAGACAAACAGCCGGAATAGTTAAAAAGAGAGATATGATTACTTTACGAGACCATAACCTAAATCAGCAATCAAGCAGACAGCATTACACTAGGCCTACCTATTACCTACTTATCTGGTGATATGGACTTGGTGAACAGAATGCAATGAGCAACCGCGTTTTTCACGCATTCGTTTTGAGATGTTTAAATATCCTTTGACCTCCTTCTTGCTTACGGGCAAGTTTGAAAGCAGTATTCACATGATGGCGTCGTAAAAAGTAAGGTATGATAAACTACACCGTCAACTGATATTTGCACACAAGCTGATGCATAAAATTTTTGAACATCCCAAAATGCACGGGCAATTGAGTGAGCTGAATGTCGAAGAATAAAACCAAAATTTTAGCCACCGTCGCCTCTCTCTCATCCACGCATTTTTGCGCTTGCATTTACAACAGGGCCAGAAATTGTGGCCACCACAGTGCTGTGTCAACAGGTTTGGTTTACCACTCGGCATCAGTGTAGTCCAAGTCTTCTAGGCCCAAGCTCATTAGCCTGTTTACACGGGGCGGCGAGATCACCTTCCAGTGGACCAATAAGCCAAAAGTAAAAAAATCATGTTAGAAAAGTACTATTTGTGCAGAATTTGTCTAACATAGAGGGTTGTGCTTAGGTCAAACAGGAGAGTTGTTAAACCGAAACGGATGGCAAAGTCCGAGCCACAAAATATGCCAAGGTTGCCAGAGCTATTATCATTGAAATCATTTACAAATGCCTCACATTCTTGTCAGCAAATACTACTGAATTTTTGCCGTCTAAATTAACGCCCACTTCAATTACATTACCTATCACCACCACTGCCCTTCACTTCGATGGCTTAGCTCCAGGCTGGTAAGCAGGTAAGCATAAGATAATGTACTGCCGGTGACTCATGCACTGTCCTTAATTTTTTTCAAATTTTTATTGTAGCGTCAAAACTTAATATTATGCAGAAAAATGGTTAGGGACTCCTACGGTTCGAACAAATGCGGTTGACTATCCGAGGTCAAACCTTTCCATCAATTCTATCATTCATCATCGACTAATACTTACTTTGCTTTCTTTAAAATGCGTCACCATCATCAAAATGCAAGAACGAGACTGGCTGATGATTCTGCGCTCCTGTCCGTGAGCACGGACGTGGAGGCAGTAGTCTGCGTGTACATGTCCAGTCCATGCTAAACACCTCCTTCTTTGTGAGGTTTGTGTTCAAACACCTGATCATCAGCGCATAATTTGACGAGAATGATGATGGGCGAAATCCATTATATGAAGGTGTCGAAGAAGGAATTTTTTCGTGCAAGCAAACCTGGTTTCGAGACTAGGAATTCCAACCACTGTGTGGGCACCGTGGTTGGGTAGGCACATGGCATTATGTTAAACCAGCAACCATCACATTGCACATAAAAGCTGCCTGTCATAAATGGATAATTCAGGCCAGAAAACCCAAACTTTGTGAATACGCGTTGCTTCCATTCGAGAAGACCGGTCGGAAGGTGATTGCGTCTGTAAAAACGACTTTTGGCCTGACTGGCCAATCGTTGCAGTTCAAGGGGAAGTGGTGGAGGCCATGACGGCTAAGATGAGTCACGTCAGGGGCATGGAGGCTGCGAATGCTGCAAAGATCCTTTGAAATGTCTTGTGTCTCCACTATCTGAGGAGGTTGTAGAAGAGGTGAAGGTGCCACGATTTTAGCCCCCCCATGAAAAGATCCTCACTCGTCATGCAACAATAATTGAAAAACAACACACATTTAAAAGCCTTTCATGAACGTAGACGGACTAGAACATTGCGAATTTTACTGCTTTACGTCATATAACTTCGATTCGCTGGGTTTCAGCCCTGGTTAATAAGACAAGTTGTTCTTGCAATACGATAAACGCCAGCCTTGCACAGGGGTGAAATGATTGCGGGAGCTAGACGACAGCCCTAAATTTCCAAATCCTAACAGAGGACAAGATCTTGACAACAGTCCGTTATTACCATCTAAGGGTTGTTCAACTAAAAGGTGGTTTGTGGATCACCCAATTATTTTACGTATGCAGCATATTTTAACAGAAATCTGAGAATTTACCTAACTTTTTTACAATATTGTCAAAATTGTCCGGCAGAAGCACAGAAACTTTAAATTGTATAGTTGGTTTTGCAATTAAACTTTTGCTTTTACCATTTTTAGCAAGTCGAAGCAATTAAAATGAGGTGTCAACTCCCCACAGGTCCGCCTTGGATTTAAAGGCAGAATAAGGCAAAGCTGGGTGTCTTTTGACGCCGATCTTGTGGAATATAAGCAATCTGGGTAGCAGGGATATGAAAGTGAATTGGATTATACCCATCGCTGTAAACCTGTTTCCTTGCTTGCCTCAGCACCATACACTGACTCTGTTCACTTGATCGCAAAGTAATTAAGGAAGTAGACTTTGTGACCAGCAGAAGTCTTTGGTCTCAACGATGAATAACACAGTTACTATTAAGACTTTTTTGGTATTAATTCGAGAGCATTGCTTCATTATGAACGAAGATATTCAAAATAGGCATGACTGACGCTCACAATCTCTATGGAATTAAAAATCGTCTCCGCAGGCAAGAGCTGCACGTTTGGGCAGCAGGAAATCCAATTTAATTAACTCTAAAAAGGACCACGATGGTCTTTTGATTTAAAAACTCCACTGTTCACCCCGAAGTCCAACAATTAATGAGATGGAATCCACTCTTCTCCCACCTCTTTCCAAGTCTTGGTGCCTTGGGCACAAGATGGTGTAAAATTATGTCCCAATTTAATCAATGCACCCATTCTTTTAAAAGCCACAATAGCTTGCGAAATTTGCTGCGTCTCTACTAACTTGCCTGTGCTTTTATGGGTTTTCTTGAGCCATCATTTCATCATGAGTGGCAGTTTAGATTGCATCACTGGTTTTATCTTCACAGGTAACCCCATTCTGAGCGTTGATGTTGGATGGCACAGCTCGTCCACCTGCTACCGTGCGTCGGGTTTTGGTAATCCAGTTTCGAGCTTTTCTGATCGGGGCTTTTGCTGCAAACGCATCGTAGCTTATGGGCTAGTGCATAGAGTGTTGAGCTTGAAGCAGATCCTACACAAGTGCACCAGCTCTTCTAAACGTCCCATTTTTGACTCACGAGGTTAACATGGACCCAATCTAAGTATTTTTCCATGAAGTCAACTCGGTATTTTAATGTAAATCTAACTTCGGGTAGATCATTTTGTACTTCGGAGGATACACGAATCGTTCAGCGAATCGAGTGGGTAAGTCACTTGTAACTTGTCTCAAGTGACCACTCTGTGAAGACGAAGAGGGTGTTAGAACTTATAAATAATCTTATTGAAGGTATGCATTGACTAAGCAATTTTACCAAACTGTGAATGCAACTTGTTGCTTCATTCTTCAAAGCTGCTCCATCTTTTACCAAAGGTACCTCCATTGCCTGCGACTTGAAATTTATCGCTGGTATGCGTTAAGTGATTTGGGTTCCCACAAAGTAGGTTGATCGGACAAGGTTCTCGCATGGATAGAGCGGATCGCACAACTAATCGGCTTTCACAATCGCTAGCAAATTATCCTTTAATTACACACCAACAGGGCAGACCTTTGTTGGCTACTGAACAGTTGACTTCTTTCTGACTGCAAATAAACTGGCAACCAATGAATCAAATAAAAGTGTACGGCGATATGATAAATTCGCTGCAAGGTGCTGCTGTCGTCTGTTGCGTGGCATGCGGTACGCGTTTGTGGTTTTGCTAGTAGAAGCGTTTGATAACTGCTGCTCCTGTTTCCGACCCATTTTTAGCTTTTAGATGTTTACCCTCAGGACATTGGCGCAAAGTAGGCGAACATTTGCAGTTCAAGCGATTGCAACGAAACCCCCTCATGCAATTGATTTTGCAATTTTGGCAGATGAGATTCTTTTTTTAGAGAAAAATTGTGGCTATTTTCCACAGAACTCATTGTGTCCCCATTAATTTTAAGAGGTTTTTCATGATTTTACTGTCCTTCATTTCCAGTGTCATCATGGCCTGCACAATGGCAAGCGTGAACAGACCTTCCGTCAGATGCAGAAGTCCATCACATTGGCATCTACTAACGATACACCACACCGCCTGCATTTAATTTCCAAGTTTTTTAAAGCCAAAATTTCTCTTAAGTACATGTTGTCCATGGAGGCGTAAATTTTTTGGCTAAAAACGCAAGGCAAGGACAGTCAAAAGTTGCAAGATTCCAAACGAAGGTGTATGGAAATTGTAACCAAGGTGTTGTGTAAACACACACACACACCTAAAATAGACACAAGAGAGAACAAACGAATGCTCCCATTGAGAGTATTTCCCTCCATTCTTTAACAATCCTCCTTTTAGCACAAAAAGCGCACTACTGTCGCATCAAAAGAGGAGTGAATGGCCATGCGACACTTTGCACGAATGCATGAAAGGCACATTTTTTTGCTTTTGCAAAATCTCCGCTCTGATACTTCAGATGAGCACTTCAGGGATAGTAAATGTGAAACTCATTAAGTTGAGGGAAGTGGCGCAACTTTTATTGCTAAAACTTCAAGGTGGAAAAGATGCTCCAGGATATTTTTTAGTCAACGCAAATTCGTCTCTGTAATTCTGTTGGGGACAGCACGGAAAATTTTCACTCACTTTAATTCACCATTCAGCCACTGCTTTTGTCGATTCGTGACCACCTTAAGCAAGGCACGCCTCGTATCATTTTCTAAATAATGCTCCAAATTAACATGCAATTAGCTGAGTGTGTAATTAGAAATAACAGTCTTGTGCTGGTTTTAGGGTTCGATGCGCTCCGAAGGCCTTTCTTAAAGATCCTGAAGACATTTTAGCAGGCCTTAATTTGAAACTTCTGCCCCTTCATTCTAAATGCTGTTTGTCAGGCTTTAACACTTTCAATTTAAACCCTTTTTGTCTATCGTCTTAGGTGAACATGAGTGTCTGAGTTACTGTCAGAAACCACTGTTCCAATTGCGTGATGGTTTTTGTGATTAACTAAATCCGTTGTAACACTAAAAGCTTAAAAAACTGCAGCAATCCATTGTTGACAGGTCCCAAATCAAATGATTTTCCCAGCAGTGTTTGAAACTTTAATAGTCCTAAATAATTTCCCTTACTATCGAAGGCATTAGTCGAATGGTGCATGTGTTATGAATAATGCATTTTTTTCTTCTACTCAACCTGTATCTTAGCCATCATGAGAGTACACTCTCCAAGAAATGGGTACTTTCATTTTGTCAACTGAAAAAGAAATGATGATAACTTACTACTCCTGGCTCATTTAACGGTATTTCAATGCATCAGTCGGTCACCCATTTGTGGAAGGCATCGGAACACTAAGGTTTAAGCTGTTTAGTTTTTCATCTTTTTGTTACCCTAACTACTAAATGCTGCCCGTTGCTGCTGCTGCTGCTGCTGCTACCCACTTCCACAATCTGTTTACAGAGGCACAGGCAACTGTTACAGCTACGAACAAGCAGCACTCGGACAAACTTCCGCCCATCACACACACACACACTGACGATTAGTGGATTTGGAATGCAATTGAAGACGTAAAGCATGTTTCAATATTTAAAATTCTTAGCTAAATATGGCTGTGGCAGTAAATACGACCGCACAAATCGCATTCTAACTTCCCTTTGTTGGTGTTATCAACTGTAGCGACTTCAAATTGTTGAGACGAAGAGGTCCACTCCTCCCAGTCCCATTGCTGCGTGTCGGTGGGAGTGGTGTGTCGCAATCCTACAACAGTCAGGACCAGATGTGACATTTTACCGACTCGTTCCTTTCACCCATATTGCCCTACAGTAGAACTTCACGGCCCTGATGGAGTGTACAGCATTCTCGCCAAGAGTAACGGTCTGCAATTCTAAGTCGCATTTCAGTAAGGAAAGAAGAAATTCAATTTTTTTTCACGAAGTCTTTTTCGTTGACTTCTTCTGTTATTGCATTAAACAATGAAATGCTTTAAGTGCTTTGAACTTTGGAAAACCTCCCGCTGCAGAACAACAGCTACCGATGATAGAAACGCGATGCCAAATCACAATCAAAAAATTACTTGCAATACATCAATTCGAAAAGTCTGCATTCTGAAACGTTGTTACTGTGCCTGCCAATTTCGTGATCTACTCGTTTTCATCCTGAATTTCATTTTCACCTTTGGTCGCATGGCTAAAATAGCTTTTACTCAAAATATGAAAAATGAGAATATGATAATTCAAGCAAATATTTGACAAATCGGTCATTTGAAATACAATGTCAGCCACAGAGGCGCCAGTCAGTTTTTATCACATAAAACAGCAAATCGCATAATAAAATTTTATGTACACTGTTCATGCCTTATGCTCGTGTTTCGTAAGTTGCATTAAGAGCAACTGTATTTTATAAAATAAAATACAAAATATTTCGTGGTCATTTGGCATCGATGTCGGTCTCAAGGAGGACACCAGGCGCTAAGTTGGACCCCATGGCGAAAGGTGATGCTCCTCCTCCTCCACCGCTGAGACGCATGGAAGACTTACCGGCGATAAGATCGAGTGAATGACTTCGACGTGTCGCATCTGGAGCAGAACTAGTCTTCGGACTTGTGGGGTGATAGGTGGAAGCCGACAATTGGCCTGATGTTTGACGTCGATCGCACTTACGACGCCATGCCCCTTTGAATGCAAGAGCAAATGAGTTCTTTAGTGAAATTTAATCCGCATTCTTCTTCACTTTCGGACTATAAGTGTTCAAAACAGGTGCCTTTTTACCACCACACCTATAAACATAAAATCGTTATTTACTATGAACAGTTTTCGTTTTTTTTGGCAAATAAATGCTCAGTGGGACGAATGCTGCAGTGCATTATAAACCGTCGACGTGCGTACCTTCATTCCATTTGGATGGGCAGGCTTTTAGCCCACTACAGTGTAGGCTTCTCAAAGTATTTAGGTTTCTTATGTCTTTTTAAATGACATGTTTAGGTTACATTTTTAAGCTTTGCCTTTATAATTTCAACACAAAATTACGTTTTTAGTTGATATGCATGGAAGGGTGATCGGCCCTCTCCAGCAGGCCGCTTACAGCTACAATATACACCAGGGTGCCGTCTTGAATAACTGCGACATTTGGTCCACACAAACATGTTCCACGAACTTGGCAGTGAAGTTAATTAAGAGCAGAGGCAGATACCGTTAGATTAAACACGAAGGAGCGAGACGGGTATTAAAGCCAAGGGCACGTTTTATCCATTGAAAAGGGAACTGGGAGAATTGCCAATTTGCTTATACGGTGTTTCGAAAACAATGATACAACTGCAGTCTCATTAATGCTTGCAGGAGTTGGCTATGAAACTTAATTTGTCATCAACAAATAAAGATTATTAAGAGGCCTGTTAAGAATGGACAATGGATGGGGACGAGCCCATCTGTCCATTCTGACAGTAGTTTTACTCCCTGTGAAGCTCTAAATTTCAGGTCAAAGTTGCGCTGCTATCCAGCAATCAACTGCAGAACTTACTAGGCCAAAGAGCGTATGGACTGCGCTTCTTGCTGACTTGCCACGTTTTGCGCTTTTGTGCTTCACCCTCTACTAAATATCGTTTTTTGTAAGAACATCGCAAGAGTTGTTTGAACCTGCGCCGAAAGTTTTCATTTAGCCATCCATAGAGCATGGGATTTATGCAGGCGGATATTAGAACGAACAAAAGACAAACCGCCTGAATAATTAAAACCGTTTCTCCAGGAAGACTCAGATAATCATCGGAGCGGCTTCCGGGAACAAAAGGCGTTGCAACTGGCAGAGACGGAGCCATATCCTCCCACCCAGTGGAGTGGTTAACTGAGAGTACCTCAAAGTTAAGCTCCCGTAGATCGAGCAGGAGGTTCACGATATTTAAGGGGAGCCAGCTAATAGCAAAAAAGATTGCAACACTAGCTAGCAAGAAACTGGTCCTCCGATGCCTGCTGGGACGACGCTGTGAGCTATACATCCGGTTTCCATAGATGCCCGCATTTGCGGCATCGTCGGTGAGCTTTCTTTGCAGAAAATAGGGGCACACCGGACCAACATCGGACACACGTGCTGTGGGCATGGGACGTTTTGGTGAACTCTCCTGAACGCCTGAAAAATCAGTGTTCTCCCGATGGACGTGCAATAATTTGCCACCCAACGGACAGAGCTGAGAATGGCGCGGTTTCTTCTTGATTCTCTTATGAACCAAGATGCAAATTTGAGCATAGGCTATGCTGACAAGGGTAACAGGTGTGCCGTAGAGTAGAATCATTCCTAAGACAGAATAAACGAGTTTCGTGATACGCATCCTGTAATCCAGCGTTGTTTCGGAGCACGTTGGACGCCCGTTAGCAGTGGATACTCCCGCAAATACTCCAACAGGCGTTGACAACACGAACGCCAGCAGCCAAAGAAAACATATGATCGCGTAGACTGTCTTGACGTTGATATCCTGTCGCGATGGGTTCATAATTAGCTAAAATTACAATAAAGTGTGTGCGTGCGGAGGAAATCTGACACCTTGGGAGATTGCGAATAGACGTGGATCATTTTGTGTATTTTTGCCTGCTTTCCTAATTTCTAACAATTAGGCCAGTTTATGATTCGTGATGGAACGTGAGCCCCTAAAACATAGTAGCACAAACATCTAGATCAAGTATCATGACTTCTACAATAATTTATTGCATATAAATTAACAATCCTAACAAAACATGCACTAAAACAGTTGGTTGGAGTCTGCTCACTTTTAGATTGCTTCATGTGGACTCTTAGAGGAGAGACGACAGCAACTCTGATCTCTTTCGTAAGAAGCAGGACAACTTTCCCAAAGTCGATTAAGACCATGCAACACTCCTACGATGTCAGCCCTCCTGTTATCTCTAGCCCACAAAGGTGTCTCAAAACACTCTTAAGGGGGAGGAGGAAAGGGGAAAGGAACAAATAAGCCCCAGCATTATTTTGGAACACAAGTTTCCAAGAGATTAGAACAATGTTTAACCTAATATACAAGATATATTGAGGCAGAAGAGCGATAAATGTGTGCCTGCGGTGGCCGAGCCTTGAGACCCATTCCTAATGGAGACCTGTTAAAACAATTCTCATCACCTAAGGCAAGCAGTTAAGTGGATAGATGAGATACTCCAAAGTTGGCGTTTGTAGCCTAGCAAAAACTAATTCGAGCAAATTGGATCAAGTAAGTAATAACCAGGAAAAGGAGGCTGCAGGGCCTCTGGCACACAGCACTTTCGTCTTTATGGCTTTGCCATCAAGATTTTGCATTCCGTGCAGGACCTTTAAATAAAATCTCAAAGCATTTACCGAATATGTTTAAAACAGTGCCTTTCTTGAATTTGTTGAAAACCGGGGGAAACAAGTGAAAGAGGTGCTCGAAGCACCTCACAACGGACAGGTGAGACCACTAATAGGACAGCATTGCAGGGAACAGAGAGCTGGCTACGAAAACTCAAATCGTACCAAAATGCTCCATCAAGTCGATCGCTTCCGGTCTAGTTATGCCTCCGCTCTGCAGCCTAAAGCAGAAATACTTCCACGACAATCAGATTATACTGACAAATTACCTTTGCTCCATGCTGCAGTCCTTTGCCAAGCAATACGACCGTCACCGTCGTGCAATATGATGCAATGGAAGTACTTCTTATGAAGACTGTGAGCAAGTTAGGAACTGATAATTGTGATACGACTTAAATTAGTGAGGCTGCCAATCGCATAATGTGTGAGGTAATATCCAACACGAAGGTTGTTGATCATTTCCTTCTTTCTGTCATAAAACATCCTTTTGAAACCCATTTGAAGGGACTTTTGACTATATTGGCGTAGTCAAATCTCTTATAAAAGCGATAGAAAGTATTTTTACTTTAAAACGAAGTGTATGACTGAGCTGTTTTAGTTAAGGCGTTCAAAGCAATGTTCCCGCTTTGCACATTATTTGGCACCATTTGGTTCTTTTCTAGTATTCGTCTGCTCTATGCATCGCTGACGAGGTAGCTCAACATGCATTGAGACATCGAGCGAGTGGCTAGTCGAAAAAGCCAGGGAGGTGCAAAGGTGCAAAATACAGTATCTGCTTGGGGATGTATCAGCTTTGAAACAAAATAAAGGTCACTGAAACAAAGTACCTTCGAAATCGGTTCTTCTTAGAGACACAGCACCGATAGATGGTTTAAGCTACAAATTCTAGTATTCGCTTTGTTGCCGATATTGCCGAGCATCGAATGGTGTCCACTGTTTGCTCAAAAATTTAGGAAAAGGACCTCGTGTTAGACAAATAAGGTGTTAGTTCTACAAACCTGAAACTCTGAAAATGCTGTCATCCACTTAAAATCTTCTTTCCACAGTTCCACCTGTTAAAGTACCGGCCTACTTAATAAATAAAGACAAATACAGCATGAGAGTAGCTCTTTCATCATATTACTCGACTTATTGCCATAGAGTACTAAACAGAATGGTTGGAGTACTCGGCCGTCCTTTTGAGGGTAAGGCCTTTGTCTAATAGACACGGACTAAGTTTCTCGTTCTTTCTTTGACTAACAAGTTTCGAATACCATTTGCAAGAACTTTATGCTGATGGAGATGCTCAAAGCAGGCACCCATGGTTTTGTTTGACAGCAGTGAAAAGAGCTATCGTCAGACCACGTGGACCATAATGATACAACTAAGATTCGATGGAAAAGGCGCCGGAAAATCAGCGGTTTTGTGTGGAGGAGAATTGTGCCCGCCTCGATTGATGATAGTTTTGTGCATCTTCTATGGTCGGAGTCCTGTACTTGCAATGAAAATATTGAGCAACACCGATACTCAGCACGAATGTGAAATGAGTAGTAAAATGGATGAAAGGTGTGCAATAGAGGTTTATACATGTGAGCGGGGCATTCCGACATCAAACTAATGCATATAATTTCCTTCAAATTTACCATTCATGAAATATCATAGAACTAATGAGACGTCTGCGATTTCACAAGGAGAGAGATCAGCCAGTTCAAGCATTAACTATGGTTAACTTCAGCTGCTTTGATGGCTTATTGCATTAATCGTAGTGGAATTCAATCTTTGCCAAACTCCTTTCCGTCCCAATCCGAATGCATTAAGAAACAGTGGAACGTCAATTCGTACTTGCACGCCAAGATAGGGCAGAGTACTTTGTCCTACTGTATAATGCATCGAACAAGATGGAATTTAAGACTAGATATATAAAAAAAGATGCAGCATAATGCAAAACTTTCATCAAGCCTACCCGAAATCTATCTAAGGCTATCGCAGTGATGCTCATTGAGGAAACGTAAACGTTTGCTGCCTGAACCATGGAGGAGAGTTTGCACATTGGAAGGCCAAGTTGCCAGCCGTATCTAGTGGAAAGAATCCGGTAGAGATTGAGAGGCTGTGTAAAGATACAAAGGACAAGATCTGAAACTGCCAGATTGAAAATGAATAGATTCCGTGGACTGACACGCATCGCGCGGTTGCAAATGACAACGACTATCACAAGAATATTTCCCGTGAAGCCAATGCATATCATGAGGATGTAGACGAAAGTTAATCCGACAAGAATAGAATTCAGCCAAGCCGAATTCGAATTAACCTTTTCTATGTGCTCCTCGAAAACTTTACGGTAATTCTCCTTGAGGGAGCTATTTGAAAAGCACTTATCAATGTACGCGCGAACTGCGTCGACACTGTCAAGAACAGTGGTTTCGCAATCCATTGAGCGAGCCTGACTTTCAACAAATTACAACTTCTTCATGACAGTGTCCATCGTGTTTTCATGAACGGCTGAACCGGCAACGTGGATATGACAGATAGCTGGTAAAATCAACATCAGACCGACCAATCAGAAACCGTACATGGTGGGCAACTTCCCTATTGGCGAATCACAATCAGCAGTGGCTGGCAAATGTCAATGCATCTTCAAGTGAAGCACAACATTGTGGAATTAGAGGATAAGTAATGGTTCGTTATAGTCAACATGTAAATACGGGCTTGTATGGGGACCAATGCAATCCGATTCTCCTTACCCAAAGGAACTGAAAATATTATATGCACCCAGTAATGCATGGAGGGTCATTTCCCAGAGTTAATAGGAATCTAGATTTGAAGCATATTTATGTGCTATTGGACATGAGTAAGATCAAAGCAATGCGCAAAAGACTTACGTCCGGGTTGTTCTGCTAGATAGCCTTTTTGTGTCGACAGGATGCATCGAAAATGCAATTTTCATTCTGATGCGAAAGTCTCGACACATAAGCTTAATGTCGTGCTTCGTGGAAAACAAAGTACTTCCCTCGACTGCTTGAAAAGCACTTGGTAACGTTGCACTTTAGTAGTGCCTATGCTGTCTTACCTGAGTTGATAGTTTTTTTTGTTCCACTCTAAAGTGCCTTCGTTTGTGTTCCAAAGCACAAAATTGCGTAAGAGTGATAAATTTGAGACGGGATGCAGACATCGCCACTGACTCGGTGACTTCGAGGCTGTAAGTAGTTATCTCCAAAGCCTTGGCAACTGTGGATTAGTATGTAGACGAGGTTTTAAAAGTGCCAAGTATGTATGCTTAGGTGGTGGTTTATTGCCGATGGCGTTGGTTTTCAAGGTCCCATCCTTCACCAACTCCTTTCGTAAATGCTCGATACGAGATGTCAAACGAGTCCAGACAATGTGACCAATTGTGCTATCAAACGCTTAGAATTTTTATAAACGCTTGGCGGTAAAAGTTTCTCCAACCAGCAGAGTAGCTGTATGGTAGGCATTTTTGCCGTCCTTAACTATGAATTTGTAATGGTTTGGATTACCACAAATTACATCGCTAGGCGTGCATTTTCAAATGCAACAGCAGATAAATGTTTAGGACGTAAAGTGCGACCGGTTTTCTCACAAAAATAAACAAGGTTACAGATAATGTTAATCTCCGTTAGAATTACCATGAGCATGACCTTAAGGGCACAAAACTTTTAGATCTCCCTGAACTTTACCAAGACACCTCCTGATTGAAATGTTAATTGCCAGCGGCAAAACAAGTTGCATGTCGTAAGGATGTATTGATATGCAAAGGCAATTTTACCTACTCTGTGGAACAGGATCCAGCTTTCATTCTTACTGCAATTTTAGCTGATATATTAACCGTTCTGTCTTTTCCTCCTCTTCCTCTTCTTCCTCTTAATTACCAACTGCCATTCCGCTCAAGACTTCCTTGTTGCTTCATTTACATGAGAGTACACCTTACCTAATTGTTTTCGTGAAAGGCATGCTTGAAGTAGGGAAATTTATTAAGAGAAAGGCCGAGAAACCTCATCATCAGATAACATACCTAAAAGGAAAAAGCTACTATTTTATTAGATGTATCAAATCTAACTTGAATATGAACCGTAGTTCTACTACTGCCCGTATAAGAGTGCCCACAAAAACTGTGAGATTCAGTATTTAGTATTAATTCATCAGAGGTGCATGATTTGCGCAAACTAGAACACTTGTTGTGGAAGGTATTCGACTGAAAATTTGTTTTATGTACGATAGCAGCTTTGAGGCAACAGAACTTGTTGCTCCTTCCGGCCCTCATTTATGGACTCATGGAGGAAGGGAGGAAGTCGCGGTAAAAAGATGGTCACAAGGCGATGCACTCGGTTGCTGTGTTCGAGCGCTTTTTCGTTATTTAGGGAATCCGAAATCTGCCGTTGATACTCAATTTTTTAATTGCTTTTGCCCCAGATATCCTCTTGACACCAAAAGTTGTGCCCTAAAGCTTTAGATGAACCTGATTTCTAGGGTCTTAAGACTTAAAACGCCTTTTAGCGTCCCCAGCCCTCTAAATTAGATCACTTTAACCATTACAAATGATTGCTAAAACTATGAACTTCATATTCACCCTTTGTTAACTGAGACTTTGGAAATGACATCTTCCCTTTTGACAGAAAAGGGTTATGCAACCCGACAAAGAAGAAACCTTCGATGAGGTGGACACACCACCAAAAGTTAGGTCATTTATTTCCACTCATCGCTGGACCTGATGCTTCTGATTGCCTTGAGCACACTTTTGGTGATCAGTCTAGAAGTGAGCGCTTGGAAGAAAGTAAAACGGTGTGGTTAAAGGACTTAAAGGTGGTGCCCAGTATTTTAGGTATATTTGCTAATTTAAATGGCACAAGTGCACAACAAACAAAAACAATGAATGTGTTATATATCCTGAGACATGGCATAAATCCAATGCATTGGTTGTAGAACAGTTGTACATTTACACAACTCACTCACTCAATGTAGACTTTATTAGTACATACCTTTAAGTCTCACCACATGTAGCATAAATGTTTGCCAATACGACTGCATTTCTCTCAGGCCGTAAACAAGTCCAAACACACGTCGACTGAACTGAACGCCATGCGCCATTCGACTACTGACCGGAGCCTCTTGCCGAAAAGCAATTCAAGAATGCACATATTGCGCTTATCTAAGAGGACGCCTGGTAGATGATCAGATGGAGGAGGAGATTATTCTAAAGTTATTCGACGTTCATAGGAAAACTCTCATTGCCATCTCAGGACGCATTTAAAAATTGAAAGAGGTTTTCCTGCAAATTTCTTTAATTATGCTAATTTTGCTAAGCAAAGTTCGTATTTGTTACCAATTTAACACCTTGGCGGTTGACGACATAGTCGCCCTTGTGTACTTTTATGGCCGTCCGCAGTTAAACCACAAGACACATCGTTGTGTTCAGAGACTAACAAATCCTCCGTTCAAATTGACGGCATTGCTTTCACCAAAGCTCCCGCTTATGTCAAGGATGAGTAAAATTCCATTTTGAGGTGATTAGCCTTGCTTTGAATGGTTTGTTTTCACACAAAACCTCCACACAAGCATGGCAAAGAATGGCAATACATTTTCTACTGCAAGGCAAAGAATAGCTCCCCCATGGGAATCTTTATCTTTCCTCCTCTGCCTCCAAATTATCATGGTTATAATTCGTTTGCAGCAAACCTGGCTATTCCTTTGCCTATTGAATTATCTGCTTCCCAGTGAAAGACAATTCATGATGCACTGCGTCGGATTTAACTCCAACGCTAACAATAGTGATCTCCGAAGATTTCAGTCGGTTTGAATCACTGCCACCGGATAGTCATTACAGAAAACGGGTAGCATGACTCGATTTAGCAGTACTTCCGAACATTCCCTTCAGAGGGACGGTTTTTACCAGTATCAGGGTCTCTACCTGTTTCAACTGGTTGCAAACAATGTTAAACCGATAGTAACCTTATTTTCGATTCCAGTTAAGTAAGCTTCCTGTTTAGTGAACCAGAAGCGGTCTTTCATTCCAACCAGGTAGCTAACCTCGTAACTAATATGCAATGAAATGGGAACATTAGGATTTGGAGATCCCTACTTGATGTTAGCCTTTTATTCCCCTTTAAAATACAGAGCCTGGATAAGTCAATACTTAATGACTTTTCAAAACCTGCACTACTAGTCTCGGCGATAACCTACCAACTCCTTCTGTGAGATCAGAATTAGTTTCCTTTTCAAATTCATAAGAACGAAATTGCTGACAAATGACAAACTGTTTTCAAGTAAGCACAAAGGTTAAAACTGTACCCCTCAATTTACTAGGTTCAGCTGCCAGTATCTGGTCTCTGGCTGATCAAAGCCATCTAAAGATTTAGATGAAAGCTCGCGATTGTATCTTACGAAACCTGCATCGTGCTACACTGCATATGAAAACCTGCTAAACGTACAGACGATGAGCAATCAGTGTCAGGCAATACTGTGGACCTCTTCATTAACGACATTAATCATGGCAAGCTTTCTCCAGTCGAATATCCTGGGATGAGCGCAATCGCAGGCATTTTAACAGCGCAAAGAATAGCACAAACGATGGTGGTAAGCAAACGTAGCTTGAAGAAAATAAAGCTTGCGCCTGGAGATCCTTTACCGATCTAAACCAAACCCACATAGAAAAGGTATCAATGCAAGATTTCTCATAAAGCGGCAATTTATTCTTCTGCAGCAAAAGTATTGTATGCAGAGTGGAACAATGCAGAGCAAATTAGGGATGAAAATATTGGCGTGAACGATCGCGTGAATGTAACCGTATTGCAAAGGTTGCATATTTAAAGCCTTTCCTCAAAAGCAGAGAAGTTTTGTGCTGTGGCATAGGCGAGGAGGGCTTGAATAGCCTGATGCACTTCAAGAAAGCATCGTGCGTCGTGTATCCAGTCTGCGGCGACGGCTGCAGGCTGACCCCGGAGCTGAGAGAGGAGTCGCACTGCAAACTCGATATCAGCGCAGTTGGTAGGATCAACGTTCACCGCAGTGTCCGCCTCGGGCATTAGGGCGGCACGTGCGCTGGCCAACAGACAGAAGGCGTCCGGCTCCGCGTTCCCCTCCGATCCTATAGGCCACTCGCTCTCTGGCGTGAGAAGAGTCGGTCCCACGCCAGGCAGACGCGCCAAAACCCGCCGACGACCCAGTCCATCAAAGAGGAGACGCGCCTGCAACCACGACATCGCGTAGCTCCACAATGATCCTCCTGTCTCGCCTACCAACGCTACGTTACACGCCGTCTTGTAGACCTTTGACAACACAAGATTGCTATAATGCAACGCTTGCATTTCAATTTGTCACACGAACTCTAATATCATCACTTTCGATGCACCACAATTGAACCTTGATTGGAGAGAAAAATCAACAATTTATTTCGGTATTTATCTACACTACACTCTTAACAACGATCCGTAACTAAAAATGAGCTGTAAATGAAGTCATAACGACTGCTGTAAATTAAAAGGCAAGATAATGAAGAATAAAGGTATCAATCCCAACCATGGTAAAGGCTGTACAATGCACCCAAAAAAATGGTAAGAGTGTTGCAAAAGACAGAAAAAAGAAACTAACCAAGATGAACCGCTAAGGCTGCGTACGATGAAATACTAACGATATTTATGCCAAGGATGTAAGAAATGAAATTTGTGCATTTCCAATCCTAGGTCTGCATTTGCCATTTCCAAAACAAAGATGATAAACAAACATCTAAAAAGTAGCGCCAGAGAGTAAATGTCAGACCAAAAGGGCGCATGACAAAGTCATAGAGCGCATCTAGTGGGTGTTTTTATCGAATGCATTGCTATGTGAAAGTCAAAGACATCAATTCTGTAGAAGAAATGAACAACAATGACTTAGTTTTGAAGACAGACTCTGGATTGTAGTATCCACTTGACCTTATAGATGGCAAAAGAATGTCAAAATGAGGGAAAATAACTAACTTGATTAAAACGTTGAAGAAGACCCTGGCGCGTCCACACCCCATCAGTAAGCGCCTCTCTCGGTAGACTCTCAACAACCACGCTAGCGAATTCGTGACCCCCACCTGCGCTCTCCTTAACGGCGTCCACATAGCTCCCAAGGGGTTCGCTTACGTAGAACGGCTTGAATTCTCTAGACTGGCGTCCCAGAGTACCCGAAGACCCGATCTTGGAGAATGGCATCTCCAGAGCAAAAGCAAGGGTCTCTACAGCCAGCCAGAGGGCTTGCGTCTCCTTAGCGATGCGGTCGATGTTAGCACGGCCGTCGACCACATTTTCGATGGCCTCCATTCGACGAGTCCAGCGATGAATTTCTCCTTCGATGGCCATCTTCTGTTCGGCAAGCGCCTCGCTGAGACGATGGTCGAATTGATGTTCCATCTCTTCCTGCTTAAGGCGCAGCATATAAGCCAAGTGATGACCATGGCGTGCCAACGCCGCGTTCAACTCATGTTCCGTGTTAGCACGCGCCTGCTTCTCCTACAAAATGACACGGTAAGAACTGAAACACTCAGATATCGAACTTCCATTCGCTCTGTAAAAAACAATTTATGCGCGACGCTGTGAAGTGTACTGATAAAGCCTAAAACTATACCCACCTGTACAAAAAAATTATCATATTTATGTACAAATACGCTTAATTGTGAAATGCCTCAAAATTATGATTTACTACAAAAAATCAAATAAGTTATAAGTTTTGGAATTTTTATGACAAAGTTGAGATATGTTTCTACTACCTTAGGACAATTATTCGCCTGGCTCTGCAATTACTATTTCGGCAGTCCCAAAAGTGACAATGGGATACTTCGTCTCCTACGGAGGAATTAATGCTGAGCACTAATTCTAGTCATAGTAACTCCTATTTTAACAAGCAGTTTCAGTTATTTGTCTAGAGACAACGCCAAATGAGCTTTAAGCACAGCATTGGTCCAGGGACGAAGAACTGTACACTTATCAGTTCTACCAAACTGTATGAGAAAACTCAAGTGCTAAATATTATCAAGACGAGGTTCTGGGGAAACTTCAAACACTGGCAGCTGACTGTCAATGGAAATAAGTGCGGTGAAATCAAAAGTCCGATGCCTATACGGTGAAACCCGGTCGCTAACTTTTCGTTTGCCAGAGAGTCTTCCCAGGTGTGATTCCTATCCCACGATGTGCAAATCTTGTTCATCAAAATTAAGTGGAATAGAGAGAAAAATAGACCTCATCGGCACAGAGTGGACACATCTAACGAGAAGGCCTCATACGCCGTATCTCCACAATGTAAACGCAACCAAAATTGCAAAACTTCCGAGAATGGAAGATGGTGAACGGACCCAGAGAATGATCTGGACAAGAACTATTGCTGGAGTCAAGAGGGAATGCATCTTTGCAAGCTAAAGGAAGGCAGGATCATTCCGTAAACATGCTATTGGGTAACCGACATGGATACTTACTAGAAAGTCCTCATGATAGTGAAGACGCTGCCATAATTGCTTGTAGTTTATAAGAGCATTGCCTTGAAGGACCCAAATAATGGTTAATTCTTTATTAACTAGAAATAATTAATAGAGCAGGACAGATAATTATTCCGACTGGTCCAGTAGCAGATTGAGACACGCCAAACGGAACCAAATTTGATAGGAAAGGAATTCTCGTAATGTGTCCGACCAGATAGCCTACTGTGATTTTAAAACCTGATCCTCCGTACATATCAACGGAATTTCTAAAATCTCATACCCTAGGCTACAAGAAACGAGTGCTTATGTGATAATAAAAATAAGCTGCATTTACAAAAAATGATAACCACAAGCTACAGAAAACTTTGTTGACGTAGTGACAAATTTTCTAGCAAATTCGTTAGCTTCCATACCAGCACTCTGAAGCAAAAAACTGCGTTATCAGGTCATCATTCCCCTTTTTATCGCCTACATGACTCAGAAGCACAATTAGATTCGTCCCCGACTCAATAAAACACATTGGACACTTTCAGTGCTGATCGAGGCGGGTACTGTTTCCTGCCGACCTCAACCACAGTCTCTAATACATCTATGTTACTAGAAGAAGTTAAAGTTTATAACAAGCGGAAGAGCTCACGGTTTAACTGGCTAACCATTACCACTATCTACAATTAATTACAATTCATATAAGGACTAGGTGGGAAATACATTGAGATAAACAAAAGCTATGTTCCCAAGATTTCCATTAAAACTACTTCCCACAGTTTTGGGAATAAAGCAATGATAATTTGATTTGCTAGAATGTCAGGACGCGCCTAGTTCGTCCATCTATTCATCTACGACCGCTTACGCATCTAAATATTATAGACGGTATACCCTCGATAAAGGAGGGAATTTACTTACGAGTTTACTAGACCAGAGGCTTGAGTGACGGTTTCTTCTCGTAAAATACTCAACTTATTTGTTTTAAAGGGCTATATGGGCGAAAATTTGGAAGAATTTGAAGAGATAAATGAAAATCAACATTTGTAGAGTCCTCACTTGGTAAAATAAACTTGAATTTGCCGCCAGGGAAAAAAATACGAAATGATGTCTAGCAAAAGCAATATTTCCACAAGATATTCTTTAATGCATTTACGTTGCAATAGCACATTTTCAAAAGAAAACACGAATCGAAAGTAAGAACTCTAATTCGTGACGAAAGTGAACCACACTTAGGCTCAAATTCCATCGCACCAAATGCTATCACACGTGAAGACTACGATAAGAAAAGAGTAAAACAGAGACAACAGATCCACTAACTCATCGAATAAATGATAAGATGGTCCAGGCCTATGTCAATTGAGCAACTCAAATCGGTGAAATTATGAGCATTGGAGCATTTGCAATGCTGTTGCCATGATGCTTTGGTAGTAACGCTAGGCCTTCATAACTGTTACTACCGCAGAACTACCTATATTGACCAAATTAATAATTCAAAATATAGCGCTGCTATCACCGACCAGTCATGATTTCCTTAACAAAATCGAAACAATTTATTACTACAGCACAATCAACCGATGAAAATTGCGTTTTAGTTTAAAAAATATGTGATACTAGTGCTCCACACATGTAAAAAAATGGTACAATTAAAGGCCTTTAGGGTTGGAGATTCTAACCAACAAAGAACCCAACCACTTGAATACGTTTAGCCAGCGACGAAAGTTGTCAAAATAGTATATTTTTGATATTTAGATTGAATGGACTTAGCTATTCTTACTCATGCGCACGGAATGCAATATTGGGGGCTCACGCTTTTTTGTTAAAAAATACGTTTTTAAAACCTTGATTAAAGCCTAAAAATTGTGTTAATGGTCAAAAGGAAGCTGTCTAAAAGCAAATGCCCTCGAGTTAACACAAGCTCAAGGTTTTTTACTACACACGAGTAGATGTGCGAATTGCATGACTGCGACCATTAATTGAAAGATTCTTATGGTACGCAATATTCCAAAATGGAAGCAATTAAAGGTCTTCCTAAATAGGAAAACTAAGCCGCAAACTCATAAGCTAAATTTTACTCCGATTGATAGAAACAACATTCATATTCCCAACACAAATCCAGTGTGCGGAAAACCGCAAGCGCATATGCTCCCAAGGAATATTTCGTCAGAAACGTTTCTAAACAACTCATGGCAAGACTACTTACCCATTCAAAGCGCTCCAGTTCACGTTTAATTTGTTCGCGAAAAATTGCCCTATCCACAACTTCCTGAGTAATAATATCAGCCTCATTCTTGTACTTCTGGAGGGCCATTGTGATGTGTCTCTTGGCAGAGGCACTACTGGCTTCCAAGCTCTCCTGCAACTTACCAATCCGCTCAAGCGACATGGCCAGCAGAGAATTCAATTCATCAATTGTCATCTCAGATCCATCGTCTAGAAAGAGGATTAGGAGACGGACGAAATGGGAAGACATCCTGAAGCATGACAATGATACTAACCGTCGTCTACTAGCTCTTCAGCGAAATAGGTAAAACCAGAAAATTCAGTCACGCCAGAATGCGATTACTGGAGGAAGGCAAGACACATATCTTCAAATGGGGTTGGGAAAATAAGCCATTGCACTTAGCGATGCCGACTATAATTCCATTGATGCTCCATAAACAAAAAACACCAACTTACTTTCCGCTTTCCAACAGCAGCGCTCAATCATCATAAAGACTACTCGAAGAGACTTATAGAAAAAAGTGTAAACACCAGACTTTTTTTTCCCAAAATAAGGTCTGGCTGAACTCTGCACAAGAGGAATCCCAAAAGCAAAGTTATTCGGCGTTGGCACATATAACAAGATTTGCAGCTAATTGGAGATACAAATTTGGGGGTAACAAAGAACGATATGAATGCTGTAGTATGGCAAAAAAAGTCATTACTACCTACATATGAAACGAACATTCATTAAATTTAATTTACAAAACTAAACACGAGCAAAAACAGAATCAAATCACCAAGCAAATCGCTTGAATGATTTTAGTACAACCTGATTACATTGGGCCGCTAAATGCTCCACCAATTGCAACGGTATTTCAAAATGAAAGACTCTTTGACACCCATTCGCAAAACATTGGATCACGTCTACCTAACTACTTGGTGTGTTCGCATGCCTCCGTGTGGCCAGAGCCAAACACAGAAAATAAAGTCATAAATTAAACCAAACAAGTAGGTTAGATGGTGTATGGAACTCTGCTTTGTAAAGATGTCACTAATTCGCATGTATTGCCTATTTAAAAGCATTTTGTTCCCTTACGCCTTAAAAGATAAATAGGTAAAGACAAGAATGGATTATATCGTCCCTCCAAAATTGGGCATAAATGCTCAAATTCCGTGCGTTTGTAAGAATTTAAAAATAATCTCAAACTCAAGTGTTTCAAATTACAAGACATTGTTAAGACACTCCGACAAGAAATACCCACATTCAGATAAACATCCAAATGAAATACAAATATTTCTTAAATGGGAATCCTAGGGAGGACATTTTCTTAGGAAAAGCAAATAATTGAGATATTTTTGGCGCAACATTAAATGCACTTCCTTTGTTGAACGTTCAGCACTCACCCTTGAGAAAAGGTTTTTGCGAGAGAGCTTTTGGTAATATCGAGTTGATTTCATCATGCAGCTTGGCCTTATCCTCATTATCAGCCTTCGTGAGGTTCATGACGGCAGAACTTTGGTTCTGAAGTCGGCGAACCTAACGATGAATAAAAATCACTCTGTAGTGCTTTGAGGTGTCCACTTTTCAATGAGGTAATGAACCAAAAATTCATAATTTGTGCAACCGCGTTTCCAAAAACAAGCAGACGACTAACATAAGCAACATGACATTTTAATATTAATATAAATGGCCAGTCTCAGGTTCTGAAGTCGATGAGAATTGTCAAGGTGTTACGGAATCAACATGAGAAGTAGTGCTATTAAAACCTGGAAAAAGAAACTGACTCCAATAAGCCATTTTCACTGGCAGAATAGCTTCGTTTATACGTTTTACTTCAGAGTCTCTAGAATGCATTCAGACATTTCTTTAACCACTAACACTGAGAAAGGTACAGACTAGTAGCAGATATGAACTAACGTTCGTATCCTCAATACAGCAAACAAATGCTTAATACCGCTAGACGGCGGCCTTTATTGTGGGGAAAGGACAGGGTCATACAAACTCACGAAAGGGAACGTTAACCTCCAGAGCTGTTACTTGGTTCATTATGTAACGTGGAGATTGACAAAAAGATTAGTGCAATACACCTACACGTAGTATCGCAGATACGCCAATGATAAACAACTGGACAGTGATCGAATGGGTCATTTTCAGACGCTTTCAGAATGGAACGGTAAAGAACAATGAGATAAATGCAAAAGGTAGCACATTCGCAAAACATTGAGGCGGTTAAAATCAGGAATCAATAGCTTGATAGCGCCTAATCCGTCTCAAGCTCTAACTCCTGAACCACATTTTGATAAATTCTAAATTCCGAAGGTCTCTTAATAATCTCTACAGCCCAACTGAAAGACTTCAAACAGTTTGGCAAAGTAGTGGTTATGGTCAGTGCCAGCTAAAGTGTACTTCGTGCTGTTGCACCAAGACTTACAGTTTCAGAAGATGACTCAAATGTTCCAGATGAATGGCAACGGGAAGTATTTTGTATTTCAGCACGTCCATCATTTTTCTGGACATAGTAAATCAAAACGGTTTTGAATTCAAACTGGTCGTTACGGTTACACATGTGTGACCTCATACGGATCAAAATCATGACATGAAGACGGACTTCGAAATTGTATCAGTTCGTGTAAGCGCTGGTGGTTGTATGAACACAAATACTGAAAAGATAAACGAAATGGATTTGATGATGGTAACCTTAAAACCCCATGGCTGAAGATAGCGTTTATGCTTGACGAGAGGGATACATGACGTATGCCCACGTCGAATAGCAAATGAAAGGAAATAGTGGCAGAAAAAGAAGGAATGATACCGGAAGTACCGAAGAATGCATTTGAACGACCTTCACAAGAACATCCTACTATCCTATTTAGGCGTCAGCAAATATTTTCACAATGGAGAAAAATTTAGGGTACTGAGAGTAGGTTGTTGCTAATAACACACCTTGTGATGTTCAATAGCACGATGCTATTTTCCTTCAACTGTCAAAATAGTGCCTTGTCAGCCGATATCAGCTCTGCCCGGGAAAGTCGCAGAGCGCTATCCCTCAATGTTAAGCCAACTCTAACAGTAATGAAGAACGTGGGACTTTGAAAATGCGACTTCCAACCCCAACTATAAACGTTGTTGTATACCCAAAAGTGCAAAAACGAAGCCTAATCTTGGTCGATCTCTACTAATGTTTAGCTAAACACTGGAGGTTCGAGCTTCCAGTAGCACCTTTATTAGCCATCTACACCTCATAAGCTGATTTGTGGAGAACAAAATAATGCTGAGTGATTTCGGAAAGTTGCCACAGTTAGCAGTACCAAGACCAAAATAACCGTACCACCCTGTATTTCCAAAGCTCATTTTAAGAGCTCCTGCATGCTCGAAACACACCCCGTTGGAGCTTATTTTTGACACCGTGTAACCCATTAGCTGGCAATACGGAGACAAGAACGCACACAACTTGAAACAGCCGTAGCGACAGCCATCAGTTTGTTCTGTTTGCAGTTATTAAACAATTATTCAAGCAAATTTAACACGCAAACGAATAAACCCACTTGAATAATTTCAGCTGCATAAGTGATTTTGATGCAAAAGCATCCTGGCTGAAGTATATGACAGTAGGCCTGCATTTTTTCACTGACTCGGAGTGCATTGGCGCGCACTCAGCACAAATTCCTACGAAGTTGATTTATCATTTATTGGGTAAGCTTAAACAATAAATAAGGGTATTGAGGATTCGCGCCATAGAGGATGCGACTTAAAAGAACAATATTTAATAAAATAGCATTAAGAGGAATGGAAAGGAGTTGGTTTAAAGCACTACTTTGTGGAAAATCACACTCATTAACACCTTCCACGGAGGCAATCGCAAGCACAATGCAAAAATAATTCAAAAGTACTGACCTCTGCAACAAGTAAAATGCAATACAACCATGTGCCTTCCCGTAAATGGCTTTTATTGTATCAAACAACTTGGCTCCAGACGATATAATGTATGATCAGCTACGACGGAGGTGAGTATTGAAATTTCATGACCATTATAAACTCAGAATAAGTACCATAGAAGCATAACAAAGGGTTCGACCCCCCAGGGACGCTTAATAGTGTCAATATGGATTCCAGAGCTGTGACTCAACTACATTTGGAGAAGGACCATGCTGTCAATTGTTAGGTCGCATGATAGAGGTATTGTCGACACAAAAGAACGCAGAGATTTTGATTGCAATGAAAATGAAATGAAATACTCTTGTGTACATGATCGAATCCTCCGCAATTTCTTTAAAGAAAAACAATTATATTTCTAGTCGCAAAGATGAACCAAAACAAGGGGGAACAGTAAAGCCACCGAGCCGTTTAGACCATGACATTGCTATGGGGAAGATAGGCAGGAGACTTGAAACATCCAAACATGGTATGATCATTCAATCAGCATTACTGTTGCATTCTTTTAAGCAAAGACAAGAGTCTTCAAAAGTAGTGACATAGACTGAAGGTTATTTTTGTACTAGTGTGAATTTGAATCCCACTCTAGTTTTTATCAAAGAGTAGCTTACATGACCTTCATGAAGCGTACATGATCAAATTCAATAAACGCTCCTGGTGTAACAGCACCAAAACTCTATCTTAAACATTTAACCATGGATTCAAACCATTTAATTTAAAACAACTTCATTAGCACAATGTCTGCTAGAATAGGGAGTCAAATGTCACTACCACATTGCCAGATCGCCATGATTTGCCACAGTTCAACATGTAGTTCAATTAAATAAAAATCTGCTTCGATTGCTTAAAAGGGCCGAATGAACGCAATTGGTTGTTGATCCCCTTCAGAGTATTGAAATGTGTGGGATAAGTTTTGAAAAATGAGGAATAGTTTGAAAAGGTGACGATATTTTCTACCCAATCACTAAAAATTAACACCGTTTTGGAGACCAAGTCGGAAGACATCGACCTATCTCACGAATCAAAACACCCTTGCGTAACGTAAGAATGAAAGAGCGAGGCCACATCCCGCTAACAACAAAAGAGCAGACAGAAGGCAGGATACGACATTTGGATAGCGATTTTCAAGGTCCGAATTTAGAGTGCCTTGTCTCGGTAAATATCATCGCTCGCACACCACACACCAAAATGAATCAACTGGCTCTCGTGACTTTTATGCTTTTCTACCTTATCCTAGAGATATATGCAATTTTCTACGTCTTAGAAAGTCAAGTTTTTGGGAAAAACCACCAACGTCCTACCCCATTCCCCATTCCCTCATCCGTCCCTCTATCCGGTATACAGGAGGCAAATATCCCGGTCCTGATTGCAGCATGGAAGGTCAACTTAAAGTGATGCTCGATATGGTCGCGAAAGATGAACAATTTTTAGGTGCAGATAGGTTCAAGAGCTTGATCCTAGATGGCGTTTCGTTCGTAAATTTTGTCCATTTTTGATACGCAAGAAAGCCTTTGCCAGTTTTAGAATAAAAAGCTATAAAGTGGGCAAACGAAAATATCAAGACCCAGTCGCTGCACCGTGAAACATCAAAATAAACGGAACTCACTAAGTCAGGAAGAGATAAACGTCAGCTCAAAGAATGGAACTACGTTAAGCCACAGCCAAGCATTCTAATCATCGCGCGATGAGAACTAGAACAACCTGCATAGTTTCGATGGCAAAATAAAACGTCAAAGCACACTTTTATTAAAAAGATTCAGAACACTATGGTGTCACATAAGTGCAATATTTTACATTTTAATTCATGCATCCCTATGTACTGCTTAGTGATATCTTGGTTTGTTCAAATAACTATTGGCCTCAGCAAAAGCAAGACAGGTCCTTGCAAACAGGATAGCGTACAAGGTTAGGCGCTGAAAATAAACGCGCCTGCCAGCAATCCTGAAGAGCTTGATGTTAGAAATGCCTAAATAGTGAATTCTGCTGAGGAGAATACAGTCAAGTTCGATAGGTTCGGCCAAAGTGGGTCCTGAATTGGTGAAATAAAAGTACTAAGTAGAAAACAACCTGATTTTAAAATGTGTAGCGATTTTTTCGTCGCAATAAACCTGCAATCTACGCAAGAAGCACTTCATTGAAGGGGACAAATTAATCAAGATTGGCGAAAATTACAACCTCAAGTGTGAAAGTATAACATCAGATAACCAAACGGAGGGTTGGTCGTAAAACGCAATATTTTTGAAACGTGAAACCAAAGTGCGAAGGGAAACATGGCGTAACAATAAACCCAGATAGTTGACGAAAAAACAAAACACCTTCAGCACCAATTAAGTGTGAAATAAAGTGAAAGAAGACGCCCCATTGAAACGATGCATAAACCTAGCGATGCTACTAAATATCACTTACCTCCGTTACTAATCCAGAAAGGTCGTAGGCAAGATCTCCATAGCGAGCAATGGCTGCTCTCACAAATTCCTTTTCTTGCTCTGATACATTCGATTTGGCTGAATCAAGTAGTGCCCGTAAATGAGCAAGCTGGTTTCTAAAACCAACCCAAGACTGTTATTAGCAATCACATCAAGTTTCCAATCGACCACATTGCACGAGGTGAACACTTAAGTTTAGTAGAATTGAACAGAATAAATAATATCAGACTTCGAACACCAAGGTTAAGGAATACACATCAGTTTACGTCATATAACGTCACTAAACCTATTTTTGAAATTGTGGTAGGATGCTTAGCTAAATCCGGCTCTGAGTTGGGGCAGTAGAATAGGTAACAAGGGAAAGGTGCCAATAAGTACCAATGATTTATCGTTTAACGTGCAGGAACTGAACCAAGAAGTATGGTACTGGTAAGTTTTATTAATCATCCCATGCGAGTGGGCACTGGGGCTGAAATATTTAAGAGATAAAACAACTTACTGAGCATTTTGGTGGCTTTCCTTGGCCTTGCGCTCGGCCACTCTTAACCTGTTGTTAATACATCCTGGAAGGTTAGGTTTATTCTAGAAAATGGATGCAAAAGTCTAATTCTAGGAAGGAGGTGTATGCATCAAAGAGCAACCCTCCCTACCAGTCCGTTCTGGTGCTGGTTTAGTTGACGTCTTGTGATGTTTTGCAGAGCCCGAAGATCCACAAGAGCATCATTAACTGCCTTTTCCGTATTCCTTATGGCAGTGTGAATGTGACCCTCCGAATCTAAATGAGATTACAAAATTTAGGTACGTAAAAGTACATCTTTTTTCAGCATAGCGACAATGATGTCTAGTCATTTTGCCAACTATATCTTCAAGCACGAAGCAAACAAAGTTGAACTTACAAAAAAAATTCACACCGCTTTCAATTTAACAGCTATGCAATTCGTACCGTCACAGCCAGTGGTGTTAACTTACACTTTTACGATTGTGTTACCTCAGCATTCCAAATACAAAGGCAAGATCAATCATTTACCAGTAAAAATGGCTCGATTTACATGACAAGTATCTAGATAAGTCTAGGCTATGTAGCTGAGAAAATTTTAACTACTGTATTAGCGTTAGCAAAGGGTAATAATAAATGGGAACAACTTCAAATCTTATGCTGTTTTGGGATTGCACCTGGCTCAGGATACTTTAGTAAAAATCGGTATTACATTCAACTGATTGTGTACATTTAGTCAATCGGATTCACAAACACAAAACGAAGTTCCTCCAAGTTTCCACAGAGGTGGAATTTCGTTTCCCTTGTGTTAATGACTGAATCATTCAGTGTTCCCAAAGAGTTGGTTAGCACATGCTCAGTAAGCACACATAAAATACCAATTACTTTTGCTTTATTAGTAAAAAGTACTGCTGTTATTCTACACCCATACATAATAGTGGTAAATAAACACAAAAATCCCAATTTAGGGTCAAAATGTGAACCTATATGATATAGGATCAAAGAGCATAAAGAAGGTCCTGTTGGCAAACCTTGAATGGATTCAGAGATCTCAGTTGCCTGACGAATAACATCAGATACCGATGGAAAAGTGGGACCGATATCGACATCGCTCGAGGGCTAAAAATAGACCACTAGACGATACCGCAAATGGCCACTTTAGAGTATCATACTGCCCGTTTGGAAACGGTTCAAGTAAAAAATCGAAAAAAAGAAATCCATGGAATAAGAAATGCACACTTACCACGTCAGATCTGCAAAGGAAAAATAATCTGCGTGAGGATCCCTGTCACATTATGCAGACACAAAAATGTTTTGAAAACAAGGCATCCTAAATCAGTTTGGTCGAGAAGCATTAAGCCATCTACCAACTGTGAAAAAATATGTGATCAATCGAGATTAGCGTAGAAATGAGGATATGAAGTTGTGAAAGTAAAAGTCTCCACACAGATGAGTTTTACACAGACGTTCGTGGACAAATAATACTTAAGCGATGATGATAATTTATTAGCGTTGGTTCCCCTTATTATTACCTCAGGCACACTATTTCCCGGCAAACATTACAAACGAAATGGTATCGAGTAAATGAAGTAATGATTGCATTCGATCTGTTTGCAAAGAAAGCTTAACTCGCAGAAAACAACGCCTAATCGGTAGTTTGACATAACCAACCTGTCAGATGGTTTTGGCTGAATAGCTCGAGGTCTACAAGTTTACTGATAGCATGAAATCGATAGCATACAAAAGACTGAAATGTAGGTAAAAAACGTACTTGCTACCAAAAAAACTAATTGACGATATTGCTGGCAGTTCAAGAGTTCCAACCCTCTTTTTCCATTCACAGACGATGCTGTCCATTTGATTCATGTACCATTCTAGCCGAGGAGCAACCTCGGTGATATACTGACGAGCAGAGGAGTTCAGGTATACAAAGAGGCTCATTCCGCTGGCAATACCAGTGAGACCAAGCAAGCTGCGAAAAATTGAACATTGCCGTGGAAGGAATGGTTCTAATAACTCAGGTTTAACAGCAGATCCTTTCACTGATCTATAATGGAACGCAATATTTTCAAAATGCACATTTGTTTGTAATTGTACGCATCAAACAGAAAATAATAATCTTGCATAGGAAAAAATTCCGAAGTGGGAAATATCAATTGTTTTCGAAGAATAAACTTTTGGTACCATGTAAAGAACTGCTTGGAAAGTCATAAGAGCTTCCAAATTGGTGAATGTAAGTGATAGATTACCTAATTGAACACCCTATTTGCATTATATGTACATTATTAGCGAAACTGAAATTGAGTTCTTGCACATACATGGGACGTCTGCAAGCATATTGCAGCAAAAATTCAGTAATCCCATCTAATATGCTTACCTACTGAAGAAGGCCATAGTTCTTTTGCGCATAATAATTGAGCAGAGCGCATCATTCCACGGCCTCAGCCCGTGTCTAAGCAACAAACCCTTGAGGCGAAATGCTAATACTTGTAAAGGCCTACCTTTGTAAATGAAGCGACAAGGGATCGCGCAGACATTTCTGAATAAATAAAGGCTGAGCACACATGTGAGGAAACATATTAACCAATTAACTGTCAGCAACATTATCCACAGGATCTTCTGTAGAGATTGGTAACGTACAGATCCACAGAATTTAAAAGTGAAACTAAGAATGCATAAAACGTATAAGTATGGACGCCTCCTGTGACACTTTGTTTATGTGATCATCAGATGTGCGATGACTTGCCCAACTACGCGAAATGCAATTCCCATGTCTAAAGATAAATGTCAATGGTAAGTTTGTGAATGTGTCACATACGAATAAAACGTTTACAAAGAGATGATAATCGAAGCACTTTCCTGTTCTACATTAGGTTTTAAGACATCCTGTAGTCTTATACCGCAGTTCTCCTACTCAATTGGAGCTTTATTAGATTTCGTAAATATCTTAATAGTTACGTTCGTTCTCTGGAGGTGTCTGCAATGCTTTGCATATGTGCCGTTTGGCGGTCACTTTAGATTTTGTCTGGCTTCTATATACGTGGGCTGGCCTTCGGGCCACGGTCAGGCCCCATTTGTCCTGTCGTCTTCGGAATACATGTTTTCAGCCTCACTTATGCCTTCTTTCATCCTATGGGAAGCCTCGTGAGGCTACAATGCCTTTTTTCGTTGTGTAAGATCCACTAGGTACTAGCATTTACGCAGCTGGTCATTGCAACTTGGCTGAATGAGGTGGGTCCCGTATTAAGCCGGTAGATGCAATCCCTTCTCAATGCCATTGATCCGTTTCGCAGGAGATTTCTATATCCTCTTGCATGCAAGGGAGCTACATGGGTATACGCTGCTGAATATAGACTACTATAAAGGTCGATTACCTTATAACGAGGTTGAAGCTCTCCCTTCGGTAAAACAAACTGTTGTGCTGAGATACAACTGGTCACCACATGTCTCACTAACTAAATTAGCCAAACATTTCGTGGAAATATATTGGTGCTCGTCTTTCTTTCGTAGGTGACTTGGCCTTCGAACCGAGGGTCGATTCTTTTCTTACCCTCCTTAAATACATGTATTCAGTCCAACTTAAAGTATTCTTCTTCCGGGTGAGAAGTCTCCGAGCCTGACATAAGATGGTAGCATAAACAGAGGATTGCGAAGTCGTTTTTGAAAGAAAATACCCACAAACGTATTAACACCATGAGATTCCCACTAATTGATAAAGGCATTAAGTTGTGCTGATTTCATGTACTCTAGGAAAGGGAGTGATTGAATACCAAAGTAACCACCAGGCATACAGCACCAGCTATCAACACCTACACGACCGTGCAAAGGTATGCAACTTTAGCTATACTGTACCCTTAGTGGTTCCACCTAAATCTTCAAATTAGTCCGATTTGAAAATGTCGTTTAGATACTAGGAACTCTTTTCACCATTATGTGCTCGGAGTTAGGCAACGGAATACAGGTCTAAAGATAGATGAGTAAATGCTAATGTCTTACTTGGATTGATTTTCGTTTAAAGTCGTTTCCCAACATCTGTGAACAGATATAATAGAAAGAAATTCAAAAAGAAGACCTTCCAAGATTGTTCGCAACAAGCATCACTCCCGTCACTAATGACTTGCCTATGCGAGGAGGGAGTTAAGTAGATGTCAAAGACAGACATTTCCACCTATATTGTGCGTACTTCATTCGTATAGCTAGTTCACCACAAAATGCAAAAGTAGAAGAAAGCATTAAATTGGTCTGACAGCATGTATTTTAGGAGAGAATGCCAAAATAACTGCCAGACAAACAAACGCAGTATTACCGGAAGTCGAGTTTCCTTCCTTATATTGTCAGTGTAGCGCCTTAAAACTCCTTAATGATGGAAGGAAGACAAGCCACTTGAGCTGGATGTCACACTTGGTTTATGTGACCTCCTGACGTGAGCTGGCCCCAAACCAATCAAAGGTCCAATACCTTCATTCAGCTAAAATTAATGTCTTCTACATAGTGGGAGGTCTCGGTGACGACGGAATGCGAATCCCACCTTTTAACGGTTGTTATCTTAGTATCCACAGTCTGTGATATGTATCTACGGTGTAAAGGAAAAGCACATACCTCGGACTTGAGGTTCTCTAAATTCCCTACAACATAAAAGGTTAAAAATAATATCTGCGTTTGGCTTTACCTTGTGCCCATGGTCCACAGTAAAGTTACTAAAAACTGAAACGACGCCACCGTAAACCATTAGGATTAGTTCCGCGTATAGATGTTAGAGGTAGCACTACTCTGGACCCCTCTACAAATGGGACCACGTTTAATCCCGTATTCCTTGCTGAATATCAATCTTGGACCAGTGTTATAACGCCTACTCCTAAAAACAGTTGATGTTCAACAAAAAAATTTCTTCCTATGGTTACTCATCCCGACCGAACGTGAACTCAGATCCAATTAAAAATGCCGAAAAATGACAAGTACAGTTCCTCAGTATCGTGGTTACTGATGCCGAGTGAAGCGGCATGTGGGCTGGATAAGCTGAGGTGACTGGAGCAGAAGCTGTGGATGTAATTAATACTAGTGTTTAAGTGGATCTTCATAGGGGGAGGCGGGAAGCGAATTCGAACGCGAACCCGGTGCGTAAGGGCCGTGATGAATCCCTCTCCGGGTGATATCTGCTATTTGGCTCATCTGTACTCCTATCCCCGTTCTTCCTACATTCAATGCCGAGTAAATCCACTGCAACTAAACCTCTCTTGAAGCCCGGGGTTCAAGAGCATGAGGGTGGGCAGGCAATTCCTACAGAGGACACCTGGTGGTCGGTAAATGCTTTGATCAACGTCATGGGTTGGCCTTCGGGTCAAGCCAAGGCCGCATACCTTCTTATCCTCCAGAATGTATCTATTTAGCCCAAAACACTGCCCTTTTCTACTTAGTAAAAAGTATCGAAGCACTACATTGGATGCATGTATGTAGATTAGAAAGTTGACACAAATCCAATGCCGCGCACCTAACGGAGGCAATTTGACCACTCACGTAAATGCAACTGCCAAAATATGCAATGTACACTGGTTGTCGAAAGTGTTTGTAGTTACTGCCTGTCTACCCTCTGGTCCCTGGTTCCCAGACTTTAAGGGGAAGTTGGTTGTGGACGATTTATTAGGCATCTCCGTAAGAAGGATAGGGGAATAAAATGCAGATGTGATGAGCAGGAGGTGTCAATCGCAGGGAGACTCCTCGTCGATCTCGCGCACGTGATCCACGCTTCCAATTGGTCTCCGCTCTCGCCTATAAAAGTCCACTTAAACAACTAGAATATATTACAGTGTTTTTTGTTGTAGGAGGCGTTAATACAGTTGCAATGTTGTGCTCGATAGTCCGTGAGAAAGGCATCCTCCTCAATAAGTGAATCTCGCCTCCTATACGCTTCTTAGCCATAGTAAACCAGGTACAGTCAAATAAATATCTGCCAGGAAATGCCCCTTCTGAAAAACTAAAGGAAGATTAGGCCAGACCATCTACGTTTAAAGCAGGAGAAACAGTGGCAGAAATAGTTAGAAACAATTAGTTAGTCAAAAATAGTTTAGGATTGCCTTCTGTTTAATTTTTATAGTAACTATACTTGGCAGTTTCCTTAGCAGTCCATGTAGCCCATATAGTGCTGTTGAACTTTTGAAGTATTTTGGAATATTAATGTTGCTGTGCAGTTTTACGTGCAAGAGTTTCTCGTATCACACTTATTTTGTTTAAATTTGCTGTCCCTCTCCCGCGAGAATAAGTCATTTTCTTACATTTGTTGGGTGTTGTTAGTGTTGCGCATTTCTCATGCATTGCCTTACTTTTTCTCTTTGCGTTTTTAGAGTTACTCCTTGTGAGCACTTCAGTAGCTTCCTTATTCGTTATTCTTTCGTACTATGTTTCTAGGAATCCGTGTAACTCCACTTTTACTATATCATGTTTCGGGGGTCGAAGCTGTCGGCTTGCGCTTTCTCACGGTCCGTGCGTCGCTTAGTGCAGCCCGCTTTTCGGTAGTCCTTCTTTTTGTCGATTCTCTCGCTTGCTTTTTCCCACTACAATCTCTAATTGCTAACTGATGATCTTCAGTACGTCGCTGAGCTTTTACCATAGCTACATTTGTTTTGCATCATCTGTAAACGCGGTTGATATTATTAGACTTGAGCATCTTTTTCCAGGAAAGTCGGCGTTTAGCTTGGACGGTCCATAAGTTGGGGTTTGTTTCTGTCTATCTCTTATTCTTATTTTTTCAGAGTCGCTGAACTTTCGCCTCTACACCGGAAAATTCACAAATCAAGTTATCTTAATGTTATACGAACCATTAATGTACCCTCCTTCCCCGAATCAATCTCGGACGGAGACGTCTCTTGGAAAAAGTCAGTCGGTGATGCTGTTCAAGTAGATGAGGTGGTTGCGGAGGTTGAAACTGATAAAACCTCTATCCCTGTCATATCACCAGTAAACGGTGTCATAATAGAACTCCTTTTTGAAGAAGGTGATAAAGTAACTTACGATCAACCACTAGTCAAAATCGACGAACGTGAAGTTGCTCTGGGTAGATCCTCTGCGGCCGAGGAGTCATCATCTCTTTCATTGACTGATGCGTCTACGCCAGCACCTTTACAGGCTGAAGGAGACTCAGAGTCATCATTTTCGCCTCTTTCCGCAGCCTCTGTAGTGTCTCCGCCACGTCCATCTCACGTGGCTGGACCCACGTCTTTTTCTCCAACCTTTGGTTTCCCAGTTAGAGCTCGGACAGAGCACCGTGTGAAGATGACACGTATTCGAGCTCGCACTGCTGAACGCCTGAAGGAAGCACAAAATGCTTGCGCTATGCTAACCACTTTTAATGAGCTTGACATGTCAAACCTGATTGATATGCGCGCTCAATACAAGGAAGCCTTCTTTAGAAAACACGGTGTTAAAATGGGTATCATGTCATGCTTCTCGAAGGCAGCAGTGTTTGCCTTGCAAGATCAGCCGATTGTTAATGCTTACATTGACGGTAAGGAAATCGTATACAGAAATTATGTCGATTTGAGCATTGCGGTGGCCTCTTCCAAAGGACTTGTTGTTCCTGTCTTGCGCAACGTTGAATCCATGGACTTTGCTGCTATTGAGCGGGGGCTCTTCGAATTGGGCGAAAAGGCCAGGAGTGGCAGCATAGCAGTAGAGGATATGGATGGTGGTACTTTTACAATAAGCAACGGAGGAGTTTTTGGCTCTCTCTTCAGCACACCTATCGTTAATCCACCACAGTCAGCGATCTTGGGACTTCATGGCACTTTCGATCGTCCAGTTGTTCGGAATGGTCAAGTTGTGATCAGGCCAATGATGTACGTGGCTCTATCTTACGATCACCGTTTGATAGATGGCCGAGAAGCTGTTTTGTTCCTCCGGAAAATTAAGTCGTTTGTCGAAGATCCGCGTGTGTTCTTCTTAGATTTGTAATGAAATTGGCGTGCCTTTCGTCGATTAAGGCAATGCTGCCAATGAAATCTGCTTTACTGGTCCAAGTGGCCTTCCTACTCTCGTCATTCCCTGAAGCAGCTTGCTGTACAATATGCTTTTATATTGGTGATACCGTTTGTGTTTTGTAGTTTGGAGTTGTTTTCTGTTAACAGTCGAGTGCGTTATGATATCACTATCTTTTCCTTCTTTTATGATGCGACGCTTCGTGGGTGTAACGCGCCTACTAGCGACTATTTGGGGCGGGACGAAATCGAATTGTCTACTTTTCGGATAAATGGACTTTGCATAATAATGTTTTCCAAGTCCAACTATTTCGCTATTTGGTTCCAGCATTTGGTCTTGGTTTTTATTTTCATGATTGAGCTTGATGGTGCACACATCGGAAAGCACGGCTGATTACTAGCACTAAATTTGTATCGCAATGGGTGAATTTGCTCACGGAGTCGCACAGCTAGAAGAAAATTGGGACTCATTACTCTAACAGCTGCTACGGATCTCATAATCGGATAAGGTGCCATCACCTAAGCTTAGTTTTTGGCTGGCCTATGTGAAATCCTGAGTTTTCTTGTACGACGTCCCTATTTTGTGGATTCTGTGAAAAGCCAGTTAGCTTGATGGTGCATTTTTGAGAGTCCCATTGAATTCAAGTTGTCACGCATGCTTCTGCCCGAATACCAGCGCTGGTGCTCTTGCATACGGCCTCCAATGTATGAGGTAATTTCAAACAGCCTGGCGAATCACCGTTCATATTCGATGTTTTTATGAATTTGCTCTGATCACAGGGTCGTTTTCGGCAAGTCTTCACGCTTAACGCAAAGTGAGTATTTGGGGCGAGCAAAGTTCAGGCTGGTCTGTGGGATATGGCCTGGAGTATACATCTTTCGACTAGCACCTGAGTTGTGTAAGCGACAAGACCTTACGCCTTAGACGGGAGATGAGGCTGCCTGGAGACATTCGTTACTTCTATTGCTGTTTATTACCAAATTGCAGCTAGATTTAGTTTAGCTATCCGCCCCTCTCTAGCATTGGTCGTTTCAAATTGAAACCTATCATAACTAGGTGAAGCACGTCATCGGTGCGCTGTGGTGAGGTGCGCAGTACCGCGCAGCACATCGGCTGACACGTTCATTGTGGCATTTTTGGACAGTGAAGGCGGAATAGCAATCGTAATCAGCGTTCGTCTGTCGCGAGACATGGCGGTCCTGTTTTTCATCTTCTGCCTAATCGGCATTGCAAAAGTCGCTCCAGCATTTTCTGTGAGTTAAATTTGGTCCTGGTGAGGGTAACAAAGGCACTTTAAGGTTGCGAATGCCATTGTGTTAGTCTGCTTGAATATTCGTTGATATAACTAGATCATCTTTTATGACCGCGTGTCACTTTGTTTTTCATGCCTTACTTTTACGTGCCACTGGTAGGGCAATGAATGCACCATTAGCGAAATGAATATTCATACTCAAGGTAATGAAAGTTATACAGTTGGCAAATGAACACTTTGCTTTGCCAGAATTTGGGAAGCCTGCATAGTAACGGTCACACGACTTAGCTATGCAACAGCTGCCCCCATTTTTAGTTCAGTAAACAAATACAAACTTTTAAAACGAGTTTGAGGTTTTCATTGCAGCCAGGAGGAACAATTCATCTTACGTTTACCTTCTCGAGCTTCGATGGAGCGTTAGCCAGCGGAGACGACTGTGACGTTTTCGACTATTGTGATTTATACTTTGTCATATGTGTCAAAACAGAGGGCAGCAGGTAGGCTTACTGATATTTCTATTCTAAATGATTACAATTTTTTGGCTAAATTCTCAGTCAGGAGAGGAGAGCCAAGGTTCTGCGACAAGATTCTGTCCTGTTAATTTACCAGAATTCGATACCGCCCCTCTTTAACATATTCTATAGACTCAAACTTGTAATTATCTCTATATTACGGTGCCTTTACAAAATTCAAACTACAAGTTCTTTGTCCGAGTTCAAACTTTGTTAATTCTTAAGGCGCGTTGCAGTTGCAATCCTCGTATACCTGATCTACCACACGGTAACAGACGATGAACAAAAGTAATCTGGTTGTTATCTGGACGCCTGTTGCTTTGTGGCTATTTTTGTGAACGATGTAGTCGCCATCAAACGTAAAGTATCAACAGATTCACTTGCACAAAATATTGCAACGTGTTTGGATTGTCTTTAGGTAGACAAAAACTTAATTAGTTGTAAATTTTGACAGTTTTCCATAAACGGGTCATTTTTAGGTTACACTTTCAATCAGTGCACCTCGTGGAATCGGTAGAGGGTTTAGGTTGTTAAATAATTTGTTAGGGCTAAAAGAAATTAATACTTAAAATGTTCTCCTTAGAAGGAGGACTAGGATTTGATTCACACGATGTTTGACGACTTTGTTTACTGTTATTGTGTGGACTTTGGAGCTCCAATTTCCCTCACACGACAGTGCTGCCATTGTCTCAAACTTTTGGCTGACAGGTGATAGTTTATTCGTCTAGGGACTGTGATGTTTTCAATAAAACTACGTCGCGGGTTATAAATGTCGGAAATGTTACCTTTGATAACGAAACTGGATTCCGGTTCCCGTTCAAAGCGCCTACGAACGTAAGTGGTAGACCTGGTTTAGTTACTAACATCATTTTCTTCTGATTTATTGTTAATAGTTATGCTGACGAATGCGAGTACCCCACTCCCTCAACATGACTTTGACTGTATGTTTGGTTCCTACTTTGATGTTTCTGGTAAAGATCCAGGAAACAATGCATAGTTTTGTACTCACCCACAAGTAATGATTCTCCATTTTTGTAATCTGTGTTTGTGAGGCGAATGGGTTCTCAAAACATCGTCTTTCCTCCTCAATAATTTCGATAATCGCTTCTTTTCTACATGTTCAATTTAGAAAATAGGCCTACCACTTTTACTATCGCGTCGCACAAATCAGCTATTTCTGCACGGAGTGATCTTTAATGAATTACTTTTGCATGTATATGCACTGAGGAAATTCAATTTACAAGAACATCCACCTCTGATGTTTAAAATTGTAATATCGAGATGCTACGAAGTGTATTGTTGTGTCTCTGGCCCCTTAACTAGTACACTTAATGCTTAATACAGCGTCTCTTCCAACTGACTGAAACCAAATCCATTTACTACATCATCTTAACATTCCTTCGCACTTTGTGTAGTTTCACGTCTACTTACTTGTTTTTGACTTTCACATTTTAGTCACCGACTCTTGCCAGTCCTTATTCCAAATTAGCTTATGCTCGTGTAATGGTTGATCAGTCCTCCAGAAAACGCCTCTTTTGTGTCTAAACTAAACCATGGGAAATTGGGACTGCTTGTCAATAAAATTGGTGATAAGACCAACGTCAAAAAGTCATACGTGTGCGGCAGAGGTTGTGGTTTGCGATGCCGTTTTACTGACATTAAGTAAGTCAGTCAAGCTTTATGGCTTGGCCGGGAGGCTTTTATTCAAGGCAAACCATTTCCTCGCCTTGGTAACACAAAATGTCCTAAAAGTAATACAAGTAATCTCCAATAGTATTGCTCATCAGTGTTACGAGTTCGTTAATTTCGGCTAAGTCCTTACTTCATACTCTTTTGAGGTACTGTTTCTAACTATTAACCTCCATTCGATCGTTTAGTATTCGTGGTATCACACCGTTTACGATGTTATTTTGCTAGTGCCTTATTTGAAGGCCACTTCGGGGTTAATGCAGGCGGACCCAGTCGTATAAATCATCATTCGATTCCAGGATTAGTGTAAGACCCCACGACCACTTATCCATGCATAACGAAACTGGGACAGCAGTTGAATTGGTGTTCCAACAGCCTTAAACTCCTGTAAAGAAGGTGATGGTAGTGGATTTGAAGTTTAACCACGCGTGTTAATGCACATCTCCTCTAAACGCGCTTGTAACTTAAATGGAATCTATTCTGATCCACGTCAACTGAATTTGTTAGGTTAGAGAATTGAGTGATCAGGCGCTGTTATTGAAAGCCTTCCATTAGCATTGAATTCCATTGAGCATTGGCTCTCTATGCTCTTTCAAAGAACGAAATCTTTTGATCGCATTACGCCTGCTTTAAGTCGTAGATTTTCCTGTATCTTTCACCGCTTTGAACTTTATGAGTGCATTTGAATTCCACTACTGACTCATTTATTTGCCCGATTTGACCAAAGAGATGGTTAGCTACCCTTGAGAGTTGGACTTTAAAGCTTTTTTTATTGTAGAAAATCTATCTAACCATTGAGGCATGGGACCATGACATTGTTACAAATGACGATTTCATTGGTCGTGTTGAAGGCCTTACGCTCATTGAAGACATAAACGGCCATGCAACTCCACTTAATCTTCGTCGCTCTAGCACTTTCTACAAGAATGATTTCAGGTACATCTTTGTTGCAAACCAAGCTTTCATGGGAATTCGTGTTGGCGTCATCCTATGCGCTAGTCTCTAGCTCAATTACCGTTTCTGAAAGAAGGTTCCGAAATCCCTAGTCGCTGTCTCGGAACATTCCCTTTTGTTTTTCCTTTCAGGGTAAATGCATCGATGACAAAAGTATGCAATTCCGGATTTACTGGATCCCTATGTGAGTTCTCCGAAGAACGTGTAGGCGCTGATAGCGGTAAGTATGCCTCAGGATGTTGGCAATAAGTGTAAATGAAGTGCAATATTCCTTAGCGGTTACTTTAGGTAAGGTCCAATAGGCCTGATGCCACTATAGCTTTGTTCTTTTGGGTCAAAGATTGCAGCCTTGAATAGGCAGGCATTTACACTCTGGTCCTGGTGTTATCGCATTGTAGTACCCTCATGCGCCTTAAATGTGTTATTGGGCTCTCGGAAAAAGTAACAGTTTGGTTCGAGTTTGAACGCCCTAGTCAGTTTGAAGACCTAAACGACATATGGTTGTTGGTGAAATTTAAACATCTAGTCCAATAGTGTTAAAAAGTGAGGCGAGTTTATAAACGGCCAATCTGTCTGATTCTGTTCAGGTGTAAACATCCCCACTGTACTCATACTTTGGGTTTCCTTTTATTTTGAACGTATTTGATATCGGCCGAAGACTGTTTTAAGTTGACTCCCATAAATTGAGTCCACTCTTAATCGTTTTCGACGGCTTTCATTTCGATAAATTAAGCAGCAGATTCCAGGTTCTACTCCAAGATGCATGTATGGTCCAATGCACTCCATTGTCATTTACTTTTCAAGTGTTGGTGGCAGTTTGAAGTAGCAGGTACTCATATTCCAACACAATCACCCCCACCTAAAATAGCATAGAATCAACAAGTTTCGATTTCTTATTTTACGACTGACTGTCTTGAACGATAGTTTTTTTTAATGAAGTGATGGTTGGCATTTGTTTCCGGTCATTACAATGTCAGACAGGCCAAATCTCCTGAACTATGATCGTAGTGGCGGCGACGGGAGGTCTAGCCATAGGAATACTGGTGCTCAAAACAACAGTGGCCACTTAGAAGCTAATCCGCGGTGTGCGAGGGCTCGCGAGCTCATTGGGGGTGAAGTCTGTCTAAACGGCGGTACCTGCCGTGACAGTTCAGACGGAACCAGCTACGACTGTTACTGTCGTCCCGGCTACAATGGATTACGGTGCGAACTTCTGGATGTAGGTTTATTCTACATTTGATAGCTATAAAATTGATTTCTGACTTTCACTTCACAAATTTGCGAAACGTTATTACGATCACTTCATTGTGTATCATGTGCTTATTTACTCAGTAGGTGAGCTTGTCCTAGCAATTTACTTGTATTCTATTTTGAAACAAATTTGCAGACGTTTCTGTTGATAACTACAAAAAATCCCTCCGAGGATTGGGATTAAACTAATCTTTTGCTCTGCTGTAGCCGTGCTTTAACATAACCTGCAGTGGACACGGTCAGTGTCGACAGATTGGATCGAATTTAAATAATTTCATATGTGAATGCGAGCCTGGATGGAGGGGCGTGTTATGTGACATCTCGTTTTTGAGCGCCTGTGAGTCGGCCTTCTATAGTTTACCCAAAGACCAACTCTCTATCTGTCTGCATGGAGGCATTTGCGTTGAGCATTACGACGGCTCTGGCTTCCACTGTCAGTGTGCGAGTGGATGGATGGGCGAGCGTTGTGAAACGCATTTTACACAGGTGAGCCAACTCTAGCCATTTGTGTACTCTGAGAATCACAACTTGGTAAATTGCTCTCTGGCGTTGTTCGATGAGTTTTCACTTTGGACTATTCAACATTGAGAGCGACAGCAAAGTGGCCGAAAGCTAGGCTGTTGAATAAAACCCTTGGCTTTGAAATGTAGTGTGCTAGTCTATCTGCCGTTCACAATACATCTGTCTGTACTTATCATAATTGTTATTTTTCTTATGGAGCAAAGAAGAAGCCCTTGAAATTAAGTATTATACTTTGCTGCATGCTTTTTTTAGACAGCAGCGTTTATTGCCCCTCTGGTGGTGATTTCATCGCTCCTAACTGTAACAGGGATTTGTGTTTATGTGTACAAGAACTTCAGGTAAGCATCTAATTTTTAATATCATTTCTACCCATTCAAATGGAGAATAGTTCACAGCTAAAACCTCTCATTTAGGCTGAAGCTAATTACAAACGCCAAGGACTCGAAATTTCACGTTGGTCCAGACGTTGGTAGAGGTGGTTTTCCTACCAACACGTACCGGGCCGTGAACGACAAAGCCGAGTCGTGTGGGGCGAGGAATTCGATCTATGCCACGGTGGACAGGAACTGGCTTGCCAAATAGCTGTAAAACCCTACTCGAGATTTTGCTAAACTTTCCAATCAACTTCTTTTTTTTCTCGAAGTTGAACATTTTTAAGAAGTTTGCTACTCCCTATAAAGTATCCTTTGATTTATCAGGTTGATGTGTGCGCACTCAGTAAAATTTCTGATTTATCGGAAACGCATCGACAATTCCCCAAGCTCCAGTCAGTGCTTCAATTGTTTTTCCCAATTGTGTGTAAAAATTTGTGACTTATTTATGAATTTCACTGAAATTATTTTAGAACAAGTACAAACGTAACTAGTGCATTGGGTCCGCACTCGCTCATGAAGAGTCCGATTAGTTGTTAAGCTTGAATTCGCGCTTGCTGTGATGCACTGCATTATTGCGCCGTCGTACTTGCGACTTAAGAGCCGCTTTCATAAGCGTAAATAAATCATCAAAGCGATTCCACACAAATTTAACAGCAACTCAACAGCTGCCAAGGCAAGATTATTGGCCGGAACTGTTCAGTGGGATGACGGAAATTGCTGGCGGCCATCGCCTTTTGATGATTCTGTTTCAAAGGTTTCATTATTTGCAGTTTTGCTTAAGTAAGGTGAGGAGGTTATCACTGACTCGCAGGTTGCGATAATCGGAAGAGATCGCCATTCTTCCGAAACAGTAGGGCTTTGCACATAACTATAAGGCCCCTTCCGAAGGGCATTCTTAGCACGCATTCCAATACGGATGCGAAAAATAGTAGAGTGCATTTGCATATTGATGGACTTGTGCACCACAACATTTTTCCTCGCCTCAAGTTTTCTTTTAAAGCCGAACACGAGGAATGACTTGTACTGCGAAGAACACTAAAGCTGTTTAAATAGGAAGGGTCAAACCTATGTTTCCTTCAATGCTCCTTTTGGGCAAAAGGCAGGGACATAATTCAAACCTCGTAATTAAGATAAGCGTTCGAATTTTCCCGTCATTTAGAGAGTCTGCACATAGTCAACCTTAAGACCTTACTGATCCCTTTTACAAAACAACCATCTTTCTGTGCTAAAAGTAGTCTTTACAAAGAGGGGCGACTAATTTCATTGCATAACGCAAAAGAAATCTAGTCTCAAAGAACCTCCATCCTAATTTCCATAGTTTTGTGCCGTTTGGTCACGGCAGCTACCTCAGTCCCCTGTTCTGCTATGATGCTATTAACGGAGATTGCGATGCTAACCTTGAACCGTTTCGAAAAGTTTCATTAAGAAATTTTTCCAAAAATGTTGACGATGTTAACAGGGGCCATGCCCTATCCCCATGAACCAGTTATAACCCGTGTTCTCCAGGATAAATCACCTCGTAGGTTGACATTTGAACGTTTGGATATGGACGCCCGTGATGGTCAGCACAATTCCTACTTTTCTGATTTCGGTTCCAAGCTGGACGAAACCTCAAACCCAATGGAGTTGCAGAGCTATCGGTTATGCTATAGTGTGGCATGCTTTTTCATCTTTGGGAAAGTCCTAGGATTCGGCACCTAGTCTAAGTTTCTAAGGTGCGCAATCTTTCCTCTCTTCCTTTCAAGAAGGCGCACAGCTGCTGCATCGACAGTTACTTAGCGGTGTTATAAGGGTGATAAAACTGGCAAAGTAGTTAATGCGACTCTAGTTCTGGCATCTGCGTATAGAAATTACGTTGCTTTTGAGTTCAGTGTCCAATTAATCTACAAATACTAACAGAAGAGGCAAACTAATCCACTAGTTTGAGGCCTAACTTAACGTTCCGATCATTCATTTACGGCGCTGCTGAATGATTGCTATTGTGCTTCACCTTTTAGCGTGTTTGACAATACATACAATTTTGCCATCAGATAAAACACATCAAACAGTTTCCGTCGAAAAGGAAGCGCTATTTACAAATATATTGTTCAGCTGAAAAGTTTGTCCTACTATAAAATATCATTTGTTAGTAAAGTCCATAAAAATTAATAAAAGAGGGAAGCAGCTGCTATCCTACGGCAAAGTTCAAACAATTTATGCGGATATGCATATCGTTTAAGTCTCTCGCCTCTTCTTAACATGAAGCATCCCTTGGTGGCAGGACAGGCGTAGGATCTCCAGCGCTCCTTCTGTTAAGTGTCACTGCATGGGATTTTTGACAGTTTGACGGTATCTCTTCTTGGTTCCTCATTGGCCCGAAGTAGTAAGGGTCGTTACATTGACGATAGGCGGCAGTACCGCCCTTTCTTGGGATGTAGATTGCGTATGGGGTTATTTCACAGTTTAATGAGTCCTGACTGTTTTCACTGGTCTGTCGGGTGGCATACGTCATGGGTTTGGTCTGATCGCGAAACTTTCGTCTTAAAAGGCAAGAGAAGTATGCGCACCTCTATGCACACTTTGTGAACCTCAATAGCTCAAATAGAATAAGGTCATGGCCGTCACGTAGGTCACCCACTGAACTTCATATTACCTTCCCATGGTTTTCAGAGCAATCAAGTGTGTAATTACTTTAGGCGTCTATCCTATAGTCACCTTAGAAAATTGCTCGCCGTGTGTTGGATATACTTCTCCCAATCGTATCGCCATTACCTCCACTTGTTTGGCCCCGCTTGATATTAAGCTTAAATTCTACTATTAAATTTTACAGAAAGATCTCTCAAACAGGTTCGGCACGTTTTGAAAGTTACACACTCGAATTTGCACATTCTGTGGTTAAGCAAGTACGAGTGGGAGTGACGTTTACTCCAACTTACCGTGCCAATCTTCTGTAGGTCACTGCGATAATTATAACGATGATAAGGGACAATATTCCCATGGGCAAAATGAAGTATAATGTCTATAAAAAGTTTACAAGCATGTTAGGAAAACAAATGAAATAATAATGGTAGGATTTTTCCACTCTGAAGGAAAATATTCTGCTCATTACTATGTAACCATAAAAGAGCAATATTATTAAGCACATCCCTTATTGCTACAAGGAATAGTGTTGAATGTCTCAGGCTGTCAAACATTACTCTCAAATCATATCTACATAGCAGGATACTACCTGAGTGAAGAAGATTTCACATTGTCTCCCAAACCAGCCTTGGGAACACTCACAGCTGAAGTCCACACCGTTAGCGTTATCGACGCATACACCACCATGTAGACACACCGTTGACACATCTGTGTTAAGTTTTTGACTGGCGATTTGACAAGGCGTCAGCACTTGGAGATTGCAGGAGACTCCGGTCCATCCGCGGTTACATTCACAATGGAAAGCGGACTCATTTGAATCCAGAAACACACAAGTACCATGTCCAGAGCAATTTTCGGCACCGCAGGTCTTAAATAAACAATATAATGGGAGGTACAAATTAATTGTTTTTTTGCTTTGAAGGCGAAACATATGAAAACCAATGTTGCATTGTGCTAGAATGTAAAGTATTGCTTTAAAACCGCTCGTTTATTGAGACAGCTTTGGAGTCCCCTTTCGAACTTTGAGCCATACTGCTTTGAGATGACAAGAAAACTACTGAGGCCATGTCCAGTGGAACGTATTGAGGTTTAAATAAATAAGGAATTTCTTCCAGCACGTGAAAGCTGCCAATTTTTTGCATTAAAACCTGCTTTATAAATAAGAAGGGTTATCTACTTTGTCCCGCTTTCATTCGGTATAGCTGAATGAAAGTGACTCACGTCTATTATCTCGCATCTGGGTCCTGCTCTGGGCTGGAGACACTGGCAGTAGTACTTATTGTCATCGGTGTTCTGGCAGGTGCCACCGTTGAGGCAAACAGGTGACTGGCCCAATTCCTGAGCCGCACGTTCACATGGTGTAGCCTCCCTGTCACAGAGCCTGCCAGCCCAGCCTATGTCACACACGCACTCGTACTCTGGTCCGTCAGCTCTACACTCGCCGTGAGGACCACAGAGTAACTCAGAAAAGCAAGGATTATATCCTTTCTCGCATACGCTACCTACAAGGGTGACACAGAGTTGAATTCTTTCATTAGAGAAGAATCATTTTAGCATTAAGGAAAATGTCACGCTATACCAACCAAGTAGATTTCTCAACTTTCACATATTCTCTCGATACTTCTGAGCGAAAAAGAAAATCTTTTTTTCTGTGTATGAACATGTTAGTAAGTCAGGAGCGAGACGAGCAAAAGCTAAAGTGCGTTAAATTAGACGTTCATTCTTTTGGGAAATCAGCAGTTAAAATAAGATTTTTGGCCATTTTTTGCCTGGAAGGAGCAACTTGAAAAACGGGGCTTCTAAAATGAAGTCGAAACTAAAGTACACTGAATCTACGATTATGCATTAAAAATCCCAGCAATGGTGCAAGCATCGGCCCCAATGACACCGATATTTTGATAGGCAC